GTGTGCATGTTTGTAGAGATGCATAGATACATCAGTCCATATTGTATCGGCACGAATAAAAAGGAAAATTGACATTACTGGCAGTCAGCTTTTTTTGCCTGATGTGGCTGATAATGTTGCTGATAAATGCCACATGCATGCGTACAGCTGCAGCGCACAAGCAGCCGGGAGTGCAGCATCTGGCTGGTAATTCCCGGGGTGGGGAAGGGAAGGCAAGGGAAGGGGCGTGAGGAGGCAGATTAAGGCCCCAGTAGTAAGGGAGTGGGGCTGTGCCTGGGGCAGGGGCAGGCACTGCCCAGCCAAAGTGAGGCAGGATGCAGGACGGAGCCAGCAGCTCGTCCAAGGGGCATGGCGGGGGGTCATTCCCACTGCTGTGCACTCCCCCCCCACATGCTTCCCCTGGGGATATGTGCCTCCCCAGATCTGTGCGTAGGGTGTGGGTGGGCCGCCACTGCGTGCTCGGGACTGGGACTGTTCCGGCCTCATCCCAGCGGCTACGCTCCGGGGGTGGACGAGCAGCGGCGGCACTGGAAGTGGGGGCTACACTGTAGTCCCCTGTAGCCCCCCTCCCACTGCTGCCGCCTGCCCTGCCCCACCCAGCCTGAGTGCAGCCACCAGGAAGAGACTGGAGCAGCCCCCGACTCAAGCATGCAGAAGCAGCCCACCCTCCCCCTGTGCACAGATCCAGAGGGACACATGCCCCTCATGCCTGCCCCGGGGATACACACAGCAGCAGGAGCCATCTCCACCTCCCCAGACAAGCTGCCGGCTCCATCCTGAGCCCCACACCAGCTGGGCAGTGCTTGCCCCTGCCCCACTCCCTCCCTCGCTACAGAGGCCCTGATCTGTCCCCACATACCTCTTCTCTCCAACAGACCCATCAGCCGGACACTGCTCTCCATGGTGCTGGGCTGCATATTGGCAACCGGATCAGTATTGGCCAATATGGCTGGTCAATAATTGGCTGTTGATATTGGCCCAAAAAATCTTTATTAGTATACCTCTTTGTTTGAGGTTCAATGCAAAAAGAAACAGCATTTGGTGAAAAACTAAAACATTCTCTCACAGAACAAACAATGAAAGAATTTTAGCATTACATTTAAAATTATGTTACTGCTGAACTGGATTTCAGTCTGTCAAAACACTTTCTAATAAAATTTTCAAATCTTGTAATATTAGCCAATTATAAATCCTATATACTGTAGACCTCCAGCACATAAACTTATGTAACCACCTAGAGCATTATTACTGTCCCAAGTCACAAGAGGGTACTGCAATAAAGAAGTGCAGAATATTAGACAGGGAGTGAGTATAGGGGACCTTTCTTGTGGACTGCTGCTTCTGATGGCTTCTGTCCTGACAGTGGAATATGTAGTGTGGAGACCAGTGTCAGCAATAGAGGAAAAGCACCTGCTCACCTGATGCTGCAGTCCTCTGGACTGGCCCCAAACACCCTCTCCTCAGTGGAGTGGGAGGCTGACAACATGTACTGAAGGGGAAGGCAATTATTTTCGGATGGAGGGCTGCTTAGTTTTGTCAGGCTGTCAAGGGCCGCATGGGTAGCCCCGCCCCTTGATAGATACCCTCCTTGACAGGTGCCCTGCCCCCTGGTCACCATCTTGGGACCAATGTCCCAGGGCCAGCACCAGTGGGGCCCAAAGTGGGGCACAGGCTGGCAAGGATCTGTGGAGCCAGGCTGAGCTGCACCGGGTGGGGGGGGAAGCCGCTGGCCCAGCTCCATAAAGCTCCTGCTGGCTGGGACCCTGTGCTCCTGCTCTAGGCCCCGCCAGCACTGGCCCCAGGACACCAGTGCAGGCCCCGTGCTCCCACTGGCTCCTACACCTGCTCACTCCCAGTGCCCCTCAGCCCCGCGGTACAGGCGGGAGGCAGCGTACAACCCCGACCCCCTGCTCACCGGCAGTCTGGTCCTGCTCGAGGTGAGCGAGGGGCCACTTTTCCCCCTGCGCTCAGCACCAGCTTGTAGCCGGGCCCCTGGCCCCAGGACACCAGTGCAGGCCCCGTGCTCCCACTGGCTCCTACACCTGCTCACTCCCAGTGCCCCTCAGCCCCGCGGTACAGGCGGGAGGCAGCGTACAACCCCGACCCCCTGCTCACCGGCAGTCTGGTCCTGCTCGAGGTGAGCGAGGGGCCACTTTTCCCCCTGCGCTCAGCACCAGCTTGTAGCCGGGCCCCACTGCCAGCCTGGGCTCTGCACTGGCTCCAGACTCGTCTGTCGGCAGCAGCAGCTGTGGCCTCCCAGCTTGCCA